CCCCAGCATCCCTCGGGAGCTAGCTGATTGGTACTTTGTCTTTTTAAGGCTTCTGTTTTGAGCTCTCTCATGCAGAAGCTTGAAGCCAAACTGTAGAGCAAACAATTGGAGAGCCTCTGGGGTTGAGCTCAGGCTGAGCGCTGGCTGATGTAATAGTCCAAAGATATCCCTTGTGATGGAAATCCAGCCTCTGCTCAAGGCAGGACAGTGGAACACGGGGCGGGTGTCAGCAGGCTGGGTTGAGCAGCGGCTGCATCGCAGGATGGCTGGACCCTGACGTGAACAACCTGCCAGCCCACAGCTTGTGGCACCCCAGCCACAGCCGGGGTGGCATTTGGGTAAACCAGATGCAGCTGCAAGAGAGCAGTGAGTGGCCTGAAGCGGCAGACCCTTTGGCACCAGCCCGCGAACCGTGCTGTTAGGCGTGGGTGGCAGTCGCTGGGCTTCTCTGGCTGTCAGGGGAGCTGGAACCAGGCAGTGGAAAAAACAGCAGATGCAGCTCTGCGCTGGACCCCGAGCACGGTCCGGGCAGTGCTCCCCTCCCGAGCAGCATGTGGCTGTCGGCGGGGGGGTGGGCCGGGTTGAGCCAGGCCCTGCGGAGACCGAAGCTTCCCCGCTCAGGTGTCCCTGATTAAACCTGCCCTTGGGGAGTCAAGGTTAAGAGTGAGGACTCAGGGCGTCAGCAGCGATGCGTGGTGTGACGAGAGGAGCAGGGACTCCTCCCTGCCCGCCCAGTGCTCCTCTGCAGCCGCGTGCTGTTCTCTTTTCCAGCTGGAAGCAGAAGCTGTCTTCCGGGCCATCACTATTGCCAGCCAGACCAACTGTCCTCTCTACGTGACTAAAGTGATGAGCAAAAGCGCTGCTGACCTCATCTCACAAGCCAGAAAAAAAGGTGAGTGGCAGCTGCTGGTGCACACAGCCTTAACTGTTGCTGCTGGGATCCTGGACAGCTGGATTAAGTGGTCCCCATGTCCTCATGGTTGTTTTGCCAAGACCACCAGTGTGCCTTGTGTGGAGTCCAATGCTTCCCCTTCTGCTGGGGAGCAGTTAGGTCAGGGATTTACCTGACTTATGGAGGGCGTGGGGACACTGCACTAGGCCTCACAGAGCCACCTCCTGTTGTCACATCAGGTAGCATCATCATGGGGGTCACAGGTAGGAGCAGTGCTTTAAACACCAAAGTTTGTCTGTGGCTAGGAAGGGCCCTGTGAGGAGACTCATCTATAAAAAGAGGGAGTCAGGAGATGCTAACAACGTATTTTCAGAGAGGGTCCTGGTGGAGTTGGTAACTGTGGGACATAAAAATGATGAGTATCTCCCAGAAGCACTTGCCCAGGCTGTATAGAGCTCATTTGGAAAGAAAAGCACATTTTTTCAGTCCCCATCCTGATTTATGACAAGCCCTGCTCTGCAAAAAGCCCCCTGCAAAAAGCCACCTGCTACCCTCTCCCCTGGCCTATCCATGGAGTGGGGCACCAGAAGTCAAGTGAGGAGCAAGAGAGGGGGACAAGCCTGCCAGCTCTTTGGTGGCACAGGCTGTCATAGTACTGTTGGGACAGAGGATGCCCCAAGGCTCCACCAAACCAGCGTCCTTTCTGTCACCCTTTCCAGGCAATGTGGTGTTTGGTGAGCCGATCACGGCCAGTCTTGGGACTGACGGGACGCACTACTGGAGTAAGAACTGGGCCAAGGCTGCAGCATTTGTGGTCTCTCCGCCTCTGAGCCCAGACCCAACAACTCCTGACTACATCAACTCCCTCCTGGCCAGGTGAGTGACAGCTCTGCTGAGTGATGCCGCTCGTGGGAAGAAGCAGACTCTGGCCTCTGGAAGAGGTTAGGGAGTATGTGGGCAACGTGAACTTTAGTCCAACCTGAACCACTTCACTGTAGGTATTTAATGAGCTGACTGATGAAATGGCTCTGACTCAGAGCCGTGGTGGCTTGTCTCTGAGCACAGATGGAGCACAGGGGAGGCACCGTAAAGCTTCACATCAGAAATGAGAAAAATAACAGAGCAAGTAGTCATGAACCATTTTTAATGCCCTGAAGAAGGCAAAGAAATGAGAACCGGCTGACAGACTTGTCACTGAAAGTGTTCACCGAGCTGGAGAAGCTCTTCCACCTGTGCAGGGTGGAGAGTGGCTGCCTGCGTGGCGATGGTGCAGGAGAAGGTGGAGGGCTTACAGGTGTTACAGGGTACTGGTGGGTGCCCACCAGTCAAGTCCAAATCAGACGTTTTCTCAGGCCTGTACAGGTGAGCAGTAGCACAGCCTGCAGAGTGTAAGTGGCCTTTAATAAGAGCAGCTCATGCACTTCTGGCAGGGTTGGAAGGTCATGTTTTCACCCTGAAGGCAGGGGGCGGGGAAGGGATTTGTTGAAAATAGAGAGCACACAATAAAAGCACTTCAGCAATTTGCATTGACCTTTCACAGTTACAGTCCATCCTCTCACTGGCAAGGCACGCGCAGCAGCCAGGGACGCAGAGCTCACTGCGGGCCCTGCCCACGTGCCACGTGTGACTTGCACGCCCCTCTCACCCTGTGTCTGAACGTCGAACCGTGCGCGCGGCGCTGGTCTGTGTTAGCCACGGGATGACTGACACCAAGGGGGTTGTAAATGGAAATGACCTTTGAGGTAATGCTGGAAACATGTCTGACTATATGAACAAGGGATGACTGGTCAGTAAGAGGTGTCTCAGCAGAGGGGCATGTTAGGATAAACCTGGGTTGTACCGGAGTGGAGATGCCGTGACCGGTGTAAGAGAAGTGCTGGTGCGTTTGGGGTCTGAATATGCAGCTCACCCTGGATTTTGCTGTGGTCAAGGAGCAAGAGATGCCTCTGCTCAGTCTGGATATGTGAAATAGGTACAGGTCGTAGGGACTGGGAGGGAAAAGTGAGCACAGCTCCTGAACTGGCTTTCTAATCCTTCCCTTCCACTTCAAATTTACCCCAGACCTCAAAGAAGAGGCAAGAGGACTTCTGAGTCCCTGCAGCCCAGAGGTGTCTGTCCTGACACCTTTCCTGCACTGCGTCCTGTGAGGCTTCAGCAG